ATATGACAACTCACTCCATGGGTACCTCCGGAGCGTTGCTGATGTCTTTCTAGATCTCTACTGTCTCGCTGGTTCTTGCTGTGATATTAGATTCCTATAACTCACGTTAACCTATTCATTCAACTACCTTGTTATCCCATGCTGTGAGATTCAATATTACTTCTAGATGATTCGCAGCACCAAGAAGCGGTATAGCGAGAGGCTGTGCTTGCACAGCCACGAGGTTTGGGCATACCTCCAGTTACCTCCGTTGCCGTGAGATCTGTTGTCGATAGGACCCCTCTCTGATGACTCGGCGGCAGTATTTGGTGCTTGGTTTGTTGATGCAATTACGGCATTTTGTTGCCTGGTAATTCCTTTCGTGTTATTTTAACGACTATACATGTTTGATCATATGGATGCGGTTAATCATTTTGAATGTTATCGATCTTTGTACTCAGTTGCACATATGCTACTCTCAAAAAGTTAGAGAACTAGCAACCTGTATGTCTAAATCAGGTTTACTCGTGGATGTAGTCAGTATCATCTAAAGGCAAGCACAATATGTTAGAATTGATAATATCTTGTTGCAGATCTGAATATTTTCAGAATAAAGCATCAACATAGGATGATGATTAGAATGGTATTGTATGGTATATTACTGGTGATCACTTTTCTATGGGAAATCGGGTTTTCGAATTGCATATGTGAATGAATTGAGATTGGATATATAGTCTATAGTATGATTAGGTGTGGTGGGACGGTTAGCGGTTGTGGTTAGAGTTATATATCTTGGGTTTTGCGTGCGAACTCACTATATCGGGCATGTCATCGTATAGCGCTTAGGCTCATACTAAGGAAATTAATCGCCGATATACTTCTCAATTCATAGTATAAAGATTGTCAAAATAGTCTTGAGTTTTAACCGGAGGATGTTATACACCATTAAATACTCATTGCTTTCTGAAACGACAATTATATTAATGTTAAGAATAATTGGCTATAGTCAGGAGGCTATATATAATCATTAGATATCTATTCAGCAAGTCGAGAATATGATAGCTCTTGTAAATAATATATTATTCTTCTAGTTTTTTATCTTACATATATTACAACTGAACTTAGATCATTCCGGAATAATTAATATGGTGGTAATATCAAAGTAGTTGTTAATTTAATTGCTATCCCTTGCTTTTCTCCGCATTTCTGTGGAACATGGTGTAGAATTTCTCACCAATCTCATCAAGCTGCTCTCAATATCATCGTTCACGCGTTATATTCCACTAGTTTTTTTGTTAATCAGATGTAGGCTAGTCATATTATCTTAGTGGGGTCCATTATAGAGATATATCAGAAAACTAGCTAATAGTTATGCTCTAGATATTTTTTCATAATCACTCTTGTTAAATATGTTTGAATCCTTGTTGTTTATTCGTTTTCCATTAAGTATTTCCTGACCATATTTCTTATTAATAGGAAACATGTTTAATCAGTTTCTCTCGAACTGATTTATGCTAGTAAGTTACTTCACCAACGCACCCTCTATCGTTAAAAGATTCCATCATAGTGTATTATAGATCGTTGATGTAAATAATTGTGGGTGTGTATGCATATGATATTTTCATTTTGTATTTATAAGCATAAATTTTTTTCTAATAATCATCGTATGATACGCATTTATTTGGATAAACATAAGACGTGATATTATGATATAGATAATTATTATATGATATTAATGGAGAAAGATATATTAATGTGATATAAACATATTGGATAGACCCGAGAGGGAGCAGCGTATGAAAGTACAACTAAGGAATGAGGCAGGGACTTGGCATAGAACCTATTTCAGAAGACTGATGTACTCATAACAGATAAAAAAAACCAGTCAGACAACAGAGCCTCGCGTAATGATAGTAACCAGCTGGAATGTAGTATGATCAGGACCGCTATATGTTGCCGAAGTCGATATTAGTTATTCTGCAAATCTATCTTCTCTCACTGATATTCGTTGCTATTTACTAGTAGCTCCCGTTCTCTTATTCTCCATGCTTCTTTATTTCTCCTCACACTGCTGTTCTATTTCAATTTCACGACCGCCAGTTTATCGGGATTAACTAAGATAGCTATAGACTCCATCATACAAGTTGAATAGCTCAAAAGATATATGCTCTATAAATTTAAGTTTGACAAATATCTACTCATAATCTTAATCATCTCTACATAGTATGAAAGCCCTCTTCTCCAGAGATTCTAGGTAATATCGTATTAGAGTCATACTAAGCAATACTCAAATTATATATAACAAACACTCGATAACAGAGAGTTCAGGGTAATATTGATCAAAAAATATAGAAAATCAAAGATCAAGAACAGATAAGCTAGTCACATAACATTTTTTTTTTTTTTAACAATGCTTGGGCTGTAAAAGGTTGTTCTTTGGTTTCAATGGATTGTAGAGTATTTCATTGTATAATAATAATTTATAAAAAAAAGGCTACTACTTCACGGATTTCGCCTATCACGGGTTCTTTTTGGAACGTAACCCCCGCGAAAAACGAGGGTTCACTGTATATGCAGATTTTTTTTTTTTTTTTTTTTTTTTTTTTTTTAATCTTGTCAGGATGCATGTTTTGGTATGATATGTTGGCCGGCAGCATGAAGACCAAGAGCTTCCAGATAGTCCATTTCATCTACATCTGTTGCCACTTCTGGAACAAAGAATATCTTTAAATCTCTTGTAATTTTATAAATTCACAAGGCTAATGTAATTATTTCCAAATAACTAGAATTTGACAGATTTATAGATAGTCAAGGTTACATGGAAATGGAATTAAATGCATTTTGCATTTTTTTTTTTCGGTATGCATTATAGATATACTAATTAGGACGATAAATTCCGTTATAATCAAGTAAATATATTGAATTTTATTGATCCAGTAAAACCATCCTCGACTGTTGTGCACTGTCAAGCGATCGCCACGCCATTTATGACAAGCAAACATTCAATACATGTGTAACAAGATCGAGCTCTCCGATCTCTCTGGTGATCTATAATGAAATTTACAATTAATCCAAGCACTATGATACCAAATATACATTAAAAAGTTTGTTGGCCTTTGCCGGAAGCATAGAGGCCAGAAGTCGCTTAGGGGAGTTTAGTGGCACAGGTCATATCTTAACAAAGGAGCAGAGGTACTTATTCTAAATGGGGAAGAGAGGTTTCACCACCTTCAAAGATCTTGCCTGATATGGAAACTATAGCTGTCAGCATTTATTTGACCTAATATATGTATTAGTTTTCGGGAGGCGAGAGCGTCCTCGACACACCACTCACCTGTCCAGAAATAAGCAAAGTATGGGTAAATACTTCAAAATGTGGAATATTTTATAAGGTCATTTGTTACTCTGTTTGCTATAAATATATATATATTTTTGGGTTTTCAAGTTAATTGTAATGCATTCAGTTAAGTTCTAATGAGAGATGCTTACGAAAGTGGCGATAAAAGGAGGGGTATAGTTGGCTTTTGTAGTTGGGCGATGTTCCAATATTTTGTCTTCCACGAATGCCTGGAGAAGCTGAAAGTCTTGTGGTTTGGGGTTTGGTTTGGGTGGTAGAGAGGATGAGGTATTTTGGGAAGGGGTTGGGGGGTATATATTGATCAAGGGGAACAAGAGGTGGCTGTTGGAGAAATAGGAGAAGGACACTGTTGTGATAGAGAGGATTCGTGTGAGTATTCAAGTGGTAGAGAGGGTTAGGTATGTTGGGAGGGTGTAGGGAACTTGGGAAGGAGGATGAATATCCGCAAATACTTTAAATGTAGCAGGAGTAGGAACAGAGGGATTAGGGGGTGGATGAGGGAGCGGAGTGTTCCATCGAGTCATCTTTAGGAAGTTTGAGGTCTTCAAGGGTTTCTGGTGGGGAATTTGGTTTAGAGGACTGAAAAACAAAGGTTCTCTTGCAAGGAGAAGCACTGGATATCTGAGGAACATATGAAGAGGAAGGTGTAGGAGAGAATGTAGTAAAGCGTTTAGGTTGTCTGGTACAACTAAAGTGAGGAGAGGTAGGTATCCGGGAAGTGTTAAAGATTGGAGTATCTGGATTTAGGATGGAAAATGGATTTGACCGGTGGATAGGGCGAGTAGACATAGGACGTAGGTTTTGGGTATAGGGAAAAGATACCTGGGGAGATGCAGAAATATCTTGTGTAGATGGTGGGGGAGCACAGCAAAGAGTGAGGCCTAGTTTAAATCTGAGGGCTGCTGCCTCACATTCAAACTAATACGCAGGGCAGTCCCTATAAAACACCTCATAGGAGTCTCCACAATTGGCACATGTACATGACTGAGCTGGGCACTTTGAACGGTCATGACCAGGTTGGGCACAGAGGGCAACAGGTTGTGGAGCGACGATGTTTGGCTGGCCAAAACACCAACATTTCTGACATTAATGGTCGAAGGGGTCGATACTGTTGGACATAAGACAATCCACCAACACAAACATCATGGGGGAGGTCTTGTCTATGGAAGCTAATCTTGACAATACTGACAAGATTTATGTTGGCCTCTAGGAGGAAGAGCAACACTGTACTGCCACTGCATCACATTCATCAAGGCAGGAAAGTAGGTCATTTTCACATTCTGACCAATCCTTGTTATACATAGGACAAGCATTTGGGGGACAAGAAACAGTCCCAGTACAAGTATTAAGAGTTGGGCGAGGTTTGGCAGGAATGGGATTGCCAGTAAGGTCAGTTTGGGTAGATAGTGCATGGGCTTGTGCTTCAGATGTAATAGTCACAAGGCGTGAAAGATCAGAGGGACTACGAAAAGATAACCTTGCTTACTTGTCTCTGGAGGCACTGCTGGAAGAGAAGGGTATTCTCAAAATAGGAGTCTGTTTACACCCCAATTAACTCAGGAAATCAAGATCTTTATGTCAATATCTACAGATTTTACTTAATACTACCTGATGTATTTGGCTAAATACTTGATACTTAACAGTGGATAAATGAAGTAAAATCTAAATAGGGGATATTTATTTAAAATTACAAGTATAATGTACATCAGTTCTTAGGCTTGGACTTGACCCAAGAGACATTTGCGTCTTGCTAGGAGGTTCCAGTTCCTGGAAAAAAAATATGCAGGAATTTTGACAAATGACAGCATACCTTCAGACTGATTCCAATATCTAGAACTATTTTATATGAAAAGTATGGAAGTCAACAGCACCACTCACCATTTCTGGGGCACCAGTCTTGTGGCAGGGGGCAGTGGTCAAAGTTGTGATCCATATGCCTGATTCTAGAGTCCTCCATGCACTTGCCAACTCCTGATGATACAGTGTACCATATATACCCCTCTGGACATTGATACCGCATCTCTACAAATTGACCAGATTTTAAGTAACATTCAAAGTATCTATGCTTGTTCACAGGGTCTGGGAAGCGTCCCTCACTCTCGCACATGAACTTGTACATGCAAGGATCTTCACAAATTTGTTTTTCCTCATTGAAAAAGGTTTTACCATTACAGAGGTAGAATTTTTGCAGCCATCCATGTATAAGGGCAATGCAAGAGTAGTATTCACTACAATTTTTTGGATTAACAAAAGTCCCAGGCTTTGTACAAGGTGGTAGACCCACTTCATTGCGACACTGTGTAAGGTTCTCATCAAACACCATACCATCTGGACACTTGTAAAATTCTGGTTTGGATCTTACACCATCGCATGAGAAAAATTTCTGTGGGTCATAGTAGTCCACACGAAATACATATGGCCTCTCACAAGTGCACTCTGCAGGTTCATTAGGATAGCACACACTACCTCCAAACATACTCTTATCTGTGCAGTAATGATCTTCGATGCAGCGACGAACGAAGGCTTGTCCGTTTACACACACGACCAAACTCTTGCAATCAAGGCAGTGGAAACGGTCAGGTTGAGCTTCACACAGATAAGAGAGAGAATGATAACCCCCAGTAACACTGAAAGAAAAGGAAGATTAATACATTGTTGAAAGTAAATGCAGTTCTTTAGATCTAGTTTTGGGTTGTCTAACAAAACTTACTCATTTGCCAGGACAAGGGTGACTCCTGAGGCCATCTGGAAAAGAAAATTACATTAAAATTCAAAACTAGGATTTCTCCATTGAAATTTCTTGCCTAGCCTATTGTAATTGCCAAGAATATGGAATATAATTGTATATATTAAGTCTAATCATACTCTGCAGTACTTATTCTAAACCTTAGTCTTACAAATGCTAAATCCATAAACTACTTTATAATCCATGTCCTAGAGTTTCCAGTCAAGGGATACCTTTTCATAAACAATGGCATTCTCACACTGAAAGATACATATTAGGTGTGGCTGCAGTGAGACGGGTGGGTCCAGTACTTTACAAGTCAGCATTTTGCTTCCTGACAAACTTAAGAGCATAGCAGTATTGCACCAACAAGAACTGATGCTACACCCCAAGGCAGCCAATTGGGATATTGGGATACAGCTCCTCCCCCCCTAGTGTCAGGCTCCAATGATCCAATTAAATTCTAATCCCATAATGGCGGTAATTGGAGACCACAGGTGTTTGGAACTGATGGTAGGTGCACTTACCCACACTGGCTGGTGCTTTCATACCTTGAGGAAGGCATAACCTGTCATTGTTATAAGACCAGTCCTGCCAAAAGTGACTAAACTTTTCAGCAATATATCCATCGCAGGTTAGGGACTTAAAATCTTCAAATTATGATAAAATATAGTGTCAGTCACTAATTTTGAGCCTAACGATAGAAAACTATTTGCTAATCACTATATATGTTAAAAGAGTTGCATTCCATCACAAGCTATCAAACTCCAAGGAAAAGCTTATCCATGTTGGTTGACCCTCTTAAATTTAAAGATGTCGGCATTTCCGACTTGAAATGCTATAGTTTGCAATTGGCTGCTACTAGAGAACAAGCTTTAAAAACTAAAGACTAACGACATCACGGATATGTCAGTGTATCAAATTTCATGAAACTCATTACATCCCAAATACGACAGCCTGCAATCTAAAGGACTCGAGATGAGTGGGCCTCACCGGCGGGAATGTCCGTTAAAGGGGACATTTGACGGGTAAATCATTAAATCAGCAACTTCAATTTTCACCTATTCACCTAGGACAAAGTTTGACAGGAATTTATAACCAAGTTCTAAAGACACTTGACCCGAGGCTGACATGGCTAACACACTTCAAACAACTCAAGACAAAGCCTACTAAAGCACTTTTTCGTGCACTCATCCGTCCTGGGGTACTGATAATATAGCACTTCGTCTCTATTAGGCACGGATATGAGGCAAACTAAACTATGAATTTCACGCTTATGCTTCATCTTTTCCCCAACGTTCTCCAGCAACTAAACCCTATAAACACTGAAGCACCGAGTACATGTATTACTGTTTTCTTCATCACCAGTAGTGTATGCAGATGGAGAGCTACCCTTATAAAATCACTGAAATTCTGAGTCGTCTATCAAATAAATCACTGGGTCAACCCTAGGGTTGACCCAGTGGGGAGGATAAATATAGTGCACCTCACCTTAAAAGTGTCCTACCAGTCAGTAACCCCAAACCCCTCTATAGATGAATGAGGTAAAGGAGGGATTTCATGGCATTAAGAAAGAAAAGAAATCGATACAGAAGTAAAAATCCCAGAACACTCCTGAATACTGAACCTCAACAAAATGCATACAGGCGAGTGGAAATCGGAAATCGGAGAAGACTATGATGCCATTAGCAAACAAGGAGAAAGTGCGGGAAGCCTCCCAACAGCTGCATCAGTATTTACTTTCTGTGGTCAAAATGTTCAGACACATTGGAAATCGCCAATTTGTGATATACGCCTACACTTACTAAAAGCTGTCGAAAAGTTTCAACTCCAACCTATTAAGAGAAATCATGGACTGGCCCACATTGGCATCTTTAAGGAAAAAGATCTTGTGCTGGGTACCAGCTCATGTTAGCATTTCTCCAGCTTTCAAGAAATGCTGGCAGATAAAATGGCTGATATCCTCCTCCCACACTGACCTGATGCTCCAGGTCAGAGAAACACCATGAAGTAGAGAAACCAGTGGAGAAGCTCATTTAATAAATAATATGTTCTTGGTATTTGGATAAAAGGTTCTTGCACGAAGAGAATAGTAGTAGTGCTACCAAGAATCAAAATAGGGCACACAAGATTAACACAAATAGCAGATAGCAAGAGAGAATCCAGATATTAGCCAAGACTAACGTAAATGGCTAATATCTGGATTCTCTCTTGCTATCTGCTAGGGCACACAAGATTAACACAAATAGCAGATAGCAAGAGAGAATCCAGATATTAGCCAAGAGTGCCAAGAGCCACTGTATATAACCTATATTATAGAAATTGTAAAGTTATGAATAGATATTTACCAAGACCCTTTACTTTAAAAAGCTTTAAGAGATGATTATGATTATGTTCATAAATTTCATCTTATGAAATGTATTACGAAATATAAATATAATCCTGTTAAGACATACATAAAATGTATAAATTTTAAAGTTGACAGTTTTAGATACAAAAATGTATAAATATGTTGCTAATGACTTTTAATGTTGACATGCCTGAGAAAAAAAATCCTTTTAGGAAGCAAAATAGCTTTCCAAGCTCTTGGGTTCTGCTTTTGGATCCAGCTTCTGATCATCGTTTTCATCCCCACAAGTAATGCCTGAATAGTATGTAGTAATACAAAATGGATGATGTATTGCAGTAATACTTGATACGGTTGCTATTTATATGTTCTTCCCTTTCATGCAGCTGTTTATACCATGCTTTGATCTAATATTGTTCTAAAATTCCAAGCCAACTTTTGCATCTTGAAATTCTGAGATACAAACTTGTTCCTTGAAAGGAAAGGTTTTGGCTTGTTTGTAGATTCCCTTAACTTGGCTGGAGCATTGTGACATTGCAACATTTAAAAACTTAAGGGTCCCTGTTTGGGAACCCTTTCGATAAATATTATTCCAGAATGCCGCTTTTCTCTTTCCCTCCTCCTCTCCTCTTTGGTACAGAATAAGCATTGTTGGATTGTTGAGGGCAGCAAAGAAAAGGCGAAGGTAGTCTTGTGTGAATGACTCAATATTTCGATTTTCGTTTTAAAAACATAATTCTATATAGTTTGTAACCAATTGCAGAATGCTAGATAAAACAAGGTTGCAGAAAACCAAGCCAAAAAGTTTAAAAACGGTTACAATAGTACACTCATATGTGTGCGAAGAATTTAGACGAGGAGTGAGACGACTGAGAACTACTAGGAGGAGGGGGGGTGAGACGAGTAGAAGCGCGACGAGGGAGATATACAGGGGGGGGGGGGGACGTAAAGGCATCTTGGGAGGAGAGGGGAGCAGTAGTCAAGGACATTCTTGGAGTAGAGAGAGGGAGAGGGAGAGAGCCTTGTCGACGTGCTTCCTGTCTGGCTTCACATAAAGCGAGTTTGTTTAATCTGAGAGTTGTTACTTCCGACTCAAGCTTTTAGGTAGGGCAGCCCTTATGAAATACATTATGGGTGCCAGCACAAATCATTCGCTTCTTTTTTGGATTGCTTTGTTTTTTAATAATTTTCTCCATTTAGACTATTTAGACTATTTAAGCTCGGATATCAAACTGGGATGGTTATAAAAGTCCATTTATTCTTCTATGACACTGCAGTTTTAGGAAAAATTCAGAATTCATTAGTTTTAGGGGGGCCAGCACAAATCATTAATTTGGGTTGGATTGCTTTGTTTTTTATTTATTTTCTTTTTTAGATTACATTGTTTATTTTCTATTTAACTGGATATGCAAACATCCGGTATCACTGGAGGAAAATTCAGTTTTAGGGCGATAAAAGTCCATTTATTCTTCTATGACACTGCAGTTTTAGGAAAAATTCAGAATTGATGCGACACCAAAAATACTTCTCACCAGCTTTGGGTCACGGAATGGCCGCTTTTGACCTGTCAAAGCTCGTGTTGTCGAAACCG